GATGAAGTGAACAAAGGAACAAATGACGCTGCTGAAGAAGTTTCACCTGAAAAAGCCAATGTTGAAGAAGAAAATCTACCCAGTTTTGAGAAGAGAAACGGTGAAGCTCTTGATGAAGTTACTACCACTGATGTGACTGTTACCGACGATAGGACATTTCCTGATGAAGCAGATGAACCCCAGTACGGACGAAGATACGTTCTGTAAAATTAAGAGACTTTGTTGAATTGTAATTTTGTGATTGTAATTCTGTACATTTAATTAAGTTATTGTTAATTGTTATTGGTTTATTGTATGTGGCTATTGATCGGGACGTACAATACTAAGGAAGGGGCAGTGTTACGACATCGAGGTCACGTGACTAGTATCACGCCACGTCATTCTCGAACTTTCACGTATTTTCCTTAAATCTCGTGATCTTTCTAGATATAGTATAGTCTTGTATATATAAGACCGGCCACGAAGTGACCAAGAGTTAATGAGTAATTGAATGTATGCGGACAAAATATTGTTGGCCACGTGAGATGTGAATTATAGTGTTTGTTATAGAGCGACTGTTGAAATTAATTGTATCGTAAAGTTGTATTCGGAAAGAATAAACCAGTTTTATTTAAGAAAGGACTTGTGTCGCTAAATTTTCGTCGGAACGAATTTACGGAAAATTAACTAACGACTGGAGGCGTAACAATATGTTTATACCAGGTTTAGTGATATAGAAATTTGTAAAATTTTCTTTTCTTTAGTTTCCATGCTGTGCAGGCATAAACACGTGCTCAAGAAAGTTGTTGAGAATATTTTGTTGTAGTTACTTTGTTTCTTTGTTTTCTGTAATAGACACTACCAGATTCGGGGGTGAGGGTGGAACAGCCCCTTTTTCATAATTTTGTGACCTTACACTCTAAAGTCTATCCCTTTTAACAATAAATAATTTCTACAAAATATTTTATTTCCTGCTTCTCCTAGCTAAAGACCAATAATTTATAATATTATATTTTAGTTTAATGTATCATCTGGCTGCATCGACCTAAATGATGTATGCTGAAATTATATGACGCCCATCCAGGCGACCGCACTTCTCTTTCCAAAATCCTAGATCAGCTATTGGAAGTAGATAATGTCTATTCTACCCGAAAATATATTGCAGTAACATATAGCAACCAGGTTGAAAGGATTAGCATTGTAATATCCTGTTACGACGTGACTCTGGTAACACGTGATGAGATTCTAGAAGGATCGGGGAACCTCACGAACGTCCCAGCGTTTGCTAGACGCCCTCTATTTTAGTATATAAGACGGCAGATAAATTGAAAACGGATATAATCG